CCCCCCCCAATCAAAGACAGAGTAATATTCGTACAAAAGCGGAATGATTAAAAAATATCTGAACATGACAAATGTGTACAAATTCAATGTGAATGATAATTGGGGCTGCTCAAGTTTTTGTGGGCAATGGTGGTGCTTGCTGGAGATGCGGCGGAGCGCTTGGAATCACTTCTGAGTCACGCAATTGCCCTGCTGGCACTGGTGGATGATCTGGGCCAATACCAGAATACGGTGGTGGTGCTTCATACATGTAAACGCCACCAGCTGCAACACATACATACGTTAGCAAACCTGCAAAATTTGGAAGCACCACGCGATAAACTAATCGGATGACAAATTTCCCAGATGAACGATAAATATTCTGACAAAATTTCAGCTACTGATTTCCTACTGTTCTCGAGTTGGCACAGCGCCAACCGTGAACTTTGACAAGACAGCACGTGCAGTACAGGCATGTGCGACAGTTAGATTTGAAATCTTTAGCTCATAGATGCACAGAATTAAGAGGATGTTTGATGTAAGGCAGGATGAAAGACTGAACAAGTGGCTCAAGCAAATTTTGAGGGATATATCCCGCAATTCTTCCCAGAACGAAAAACAAAGGAAGCGCAGGAAATGATGACAAGTTCTCGGCCAGTATGGCTATTAGGTGATGCAGTTTCAGTTGCAGCAAGTTTGAAAGATTTCGGTGTAAAGTACGTTACAGTAAAACAGCAGCTAGTTGTAGGATAAAAGCAAATAACTGAGCGGGTCGTTTGCCATTCGTGATGCCTCTGAGACGCAAAAACTATCGTGATCGTATGCCAGGCGGCATAATTCTGTCATACATTCGGTCGGGTATCAATTCTATTTGCAGCTTCTTTAGAAAACAGAAAACTAAGGAAGAGTATGCGAAAACACCTGGAGGTTGTTCGGGAAAAGCATTCAAAGGAGCCACAAAACCATTGTAAATTCCTCCGGATGGGATATAGTAAGCTGGTGGTGCGGCATAGTAGTTCCCTGGCGGTGGAGCGTATGGTGGTGGAGCATTGTACGGACGGAAGCTTCGCGCTGAAAAACTCAGTAAAATGATTCCACGTCAAAAAAATTTATTCGAACAACCAAAACTGGGTTTTTTTTTCATCAAAACTTTGCAGGACGAAAAAGCAAACGTACCCATTTCAGCAGCTTTCAGCAGTGCCTGGCCAAAATCAATACATCCGCCTTTGTTGAATGTTAGTTTCCAGGATACCCGTCCATTCCAATTACCTAAAATGAGTATTGTTAGGCCCGTTACGTGACCCTTGACTATAGCAGCGATGGACAGGGGAGAAACACCAGCAGTTTATTCTTCTAATAGACACTTCACTCCAGAGAAGACGTCGAATAAGATGACGCGTCAAATGGCGAACAGGACGACGCGCAGGACAATGAACTGAGACACCGCACAAGCTGTGCAACAGAACGCCGGCGGTGGGGAGGCAAGACGATAGAGGCGTTGGACGTGACGGTGGAGCAGCGCCGTTGACTGACGATTTCTGGCAACTAACTAACTGCGGGTCTGGATCTAGGAAGGGTTTATACAGGGAGAATTAGTGGAGGGAAAAGGAGGGCAAGTTAATTAATGAGCAGGAAAGTAGAGTATAAAAACATTTAGAATTTGGTGGAATTGTTAGAAGTTAGTAAGACGAGGGAAGTAGGTCGAAGTATCAGGAACTAGTGAGAGGAGGGAAATGGCATAATTATAAGGTTACACTAACTTCTAACAAATCCACCAAATTCTAAATGTTTCTATGCTATCTACCTTCCTACTCTCTAACCAACCTGCCCTCCTTTTCCCTCCACTAATCTTCCCTATACAAACCCCTCCTTGATCCAAATCCTCAGTTAGTTTTGTGGAAATCGTCAGCTTCAACACCGTCACGCCAAACGCTAGCAGCGTCAGCTTCTACACCGCCGCCTCCTCATCGCCGGCGTCCTAACACTGCACATCTTGTGCGGTGCCCCGGCTCATCGTTTTACGCGTCGTCCCGATCGTCATTTGACGCGTCACCTTATTCGGCGTTTTCTTTGGAGTGAAGTGTTTATTAGAAGAATAAACTGCTGGTGTTTCTCCTCCGTCTACCGCTGCTGCAGTCAAGGATCACGTAACAGGCCTAACAGTTAGTAAGACGGGGGAAGTAGATCGAAGTATCAGGAATTAGTGAGAAGGGGGAAATGGCACAATTATAGGATTACAGTATACTTGCAAAATACAACACAATAAATGGCCAACGCACGGGCTGCCCGTGCGAAGATGCGTTTTTTGCAGAGTTCCCCGCAGTTTTGTCGCTACCGGCATCGGTTTTTTCGGCAGATGCTTCTATCTGAAAGAATTTCAGACTGGCCGCCAGGACTGTCAGGAAACATCCCCTCAAATTCCACTCTTCTAGCTCCTCACGTTCTCAAGTAACTTACCCGGAAGGAACTTTCACGGGCCTGCACGTAGGTACCACGCTTACCCGCGGGCAGGATTTGAGCTCGTTAATACCCACTTAGACAGGGAACACCTCCCTAAGATTCCAGCCCTCTAGCTTCTCAGAACCTCGAATTATGAATTTACGCGGGAAAAATTTTAGGGGGCTCATACGCGGGTACCACGCTTACCCGGGGGGCTGGATTCGAGCTCATTAGTACTACCTGGGCGGGGGGGCATTGGTGCCACACTTCCCGGGGGGGCTGGACTTGAGCTCATTAGTACCTACTTGGACGGGGGAACATTCTCATAAATTTCAGCTCCCTAGCTTTTCTGGTTCGCGAGTTAGCAGCTTACTCGTAAAAAACTTTGGCGGGGTCTTACGTGGGTACCACGCAGGAAAGACCGCCCATTTTGGGGATAGGGGCTCGTACGTGT